TTTGTTCAATAACATTCTACCAGTAGTTTAAGAATTTTACAAAAATCTCATGTACATGTGCTCTTTTAATTCTCAATTTTTTGTTGTTTTTTTCAGAATTCTCTGGAGAATATTTTGATTTTAATTCTCAATTTCATACGTTGTTCTTGTAAGAATTCTCTGTAGAATATTTTGATTTTAATTCTCAATTTTTTACGTTATTTTTATTCCAGTTCTTTGTAGAATATTTTGATTTTTTTATTGTCATTCATTGCTCGAGAAGTCAAGAAGAGTGGCTAGAATACCAGAAAAGACTCTGGAAAAAATCAAATAGCCGTTGATTATTATCGAGCAGTGAACGGGTACTCAAGTAATAATGTGCGAATGCAACATTTGTAATCGATTATTAACCGTCGGAATTAATTCTCACCAATTATGTAATTCAGTAATTGTAATCGATTTTTAATCATTCATTGAAATTAATTATGATCAATTTTGATGATTAAAAATGATTACGAATGTTGCATTCCCACATCATTATTTGATTACTTTTCCGTTGTAAAATACGTCGATGGAAAGAAAGAAAGAAAAAAGACTGACGTGAGCCTTAAATGGAATAAATTATTTTTCCGTCACCAAAACGCGCGATAGTTTAAATTTGTAAACAAACTACTTCTGTGCCAGCAGAAACAACAAACAAACAATCCAGGGCTGCCATACAAACTATATAACCAGTCACAAAGATGCCAACTAGTAGCACATTTACACTGCCGCCATTAACGAAACAAACAGCAAAACAAGAAGTAACCCCGACGATTCTGATAATAAACAGCGTCTATTCGTTTTTCTTGCCCAATAGGCTCAGCAGCGAGAAGAATCGCACATAGCAGCAGAACACTCTGCCCCGTTACCATCAATAAGTACCGCGGCTGTCCATTTACCACTGACGTCGTCTACAATCACTGAACTCGAGTAAGTAACTGATCTTCAGGCTCTCTTTTTGAAGGGAGATGAAATTCGTGACGCAAGTTTAATCACTATTCCGACAGTTAACGAAAGCGCTGTTATTTCGTAACAAACGTAGCCAGGACATCGAATCTGACTGCTCTCTTTGGATTTATAGCTATGTCGACGACAACAATGACGATAACAACAACGGACACCATAGCAACAACAGCAACGACAATGACAACAAGCACCAGTACGACGACAACAACCAGTAAGTGTTAGGCTAAATGAGTAGGGCTCTATGTAGCTGTTCAATAGAGGATTGGTCTCACAAGATTTGAAGAATTTGTTTTTGAGACTCCAAACTATCTCAAATTTAGATAACTAGGGCGGATTCAAGGTTACAGAATACTTCTCGAAATGGGAAAATGACTTTTCTACGGAGTCAAACTAATTTCATTTCTCAAAGTTCAAGAAACAATGGACTGATTATGGTTCGATTGATTTTTTTCTCAAATTCTGACAGGTGAAAGCGATGGCGACCTTTTTCACATGTTCCTTATTGTCAATGAGACTTCGATTCTCGAATTTCCGATAAGATTTCAGTGTCGCCAAGCGTATTTTTGCGTTGCGAAGAACACAGAAAAGCTGGGAATCTAATAAATACTCGTTTCACTTTTTTCAACCAGCAGCCCATTTGCATTGCCGTCATTAACGAAACAAACAGCAAAACAAGAAGTAACCCCGACGATGCTGATAATAAACAGCGTCTATTAGTTTTTCTTGCTGAATAGGCTCAGCAGCTAGAAGAACCGCGCATAGCAACACACTTTGCCCCGCTACCACCAATAAGCACCGCAGCTGTCAATTTACCACTGACGTCATCTACAATGATTGAACTTAGGTAAGTAGCTGATCTTCAAGCCCTCTTTTTGATACTAGGAAAATGGAATTCGTAACGCAAGTTTGGTCACTATTCCGACAGTTAACGAAAGCGCTGTTATTTCGTGACAAGCGTGGCCAAGATGTCGAATCTGTCAACGACGCAATAAAATTAAAGATTGGCAGCTTAGCATATAAAAGCATCGTGGATAAAAATTTGGACTAAAACCGGAGCCGGAATTACTCCACTTGCATTCAATTGTATATGCTTCGCTAAGAGTTCGTGGTCCCTCATGAATTACTGTGTCATTCTTGATTTACCTTGCGTTTTATGCAAATTATTTCCTACAGGAATAACGAAAGTTCAGTGGTGTCTGTGTCAAAAGGATTTTATTCATCGAAATTGCCTAAAATTTTAACTGGTACGCTGGTGGTATTAATGGCTAGCGTTATTATTGCACTAGCAATTCTGCTTGCTCGCAGTATCAACAACAATAGTTCAACGTCCACAACGACGACAAGTGAGGGTCTGCTGGTTTGTCTTTTGCTTCGGTTTGAGAGCGTAGAGAATATGTCTTCGCTTAAGGCCGGCATCGCTTCTCGGGATAAAACTACTTTACATCTCTATAAACTGTTATATAAATCTATCGCTTTTTCTTCATAGATAAATAGTAAAATGTGGCCTCTACAAAATTGGATCTGGGCGACATCTTGAAACTCTTATGGTTCGGGTCTGCCAGATATTTTCTCCGAAGCACCGGAACTCGTTTTCGGTTAGATTTGGGACCGGTAAGAATGCTTGGAAACATAGGTTATCGACTATGAAATCTTCAAAACCGAATCTAAAGAACTCTGTGGTTTTTCAATTATTCACTTGCATAATGATAAAACTAACTATATCCTAAAGTTTTGAACCTGCTCTGATGTATTTTGAGTGTGTTATGACCTTTTTTATATTAGCTGAAAACAGCCGGAAAAGACTAGTTGTGTAAAACTTAGGTGTGGCCAGGTTCTAAACTCTTTTTGTAAAAACAAACATTGTCGCGAGATTCAGCGTGGTCGGTTACCAATGTTTTCAAGCACTTTTACCGGTCCCAAACCTAACTGAAAAGGAGTTCTGGTGCCTCGGAGAAAATATCTGGCAGACCCGAACCATAAGATTTTCAAGATGTCGCTCAGATTGAGTTTTGTAGAGGGCACGTTTTACTATTTATCTATGAAGAAAAAGCGATAGATTTATATGATAGTTTTTAGAGATCTGAAGTGATTTCCCAAAGATCTGCTCAAAAACCGATTTCAAAATCTTTTTAAAAATCATCCTTGCTTGTGGTAAACTAGACTGGCGTCTACTTTCGATTGCTGAACACCTCAATTATGGGGATTTCAGTAGAAAAAGCAATCGAAACTGTCCCTAGTAGAATTTTCAGAACCAACGGACGATCTTTTGACGAAATGTCTAACAGGAATGTCAGTTGGGTTGGGTCGGTTACTCATTAGTTGGATGAGCCAACTCAATGGGTAATTTTGACCCATTCGAAAAGCCTGATCGAGAGCCAATGACCCATGCGTCAAGGAAATTAAGAATGGGTGACCCATGGGTTCGCCCATAACTATTAATCGGTACAGCGCAGGGACGTAGCCTCCTTAGAAAATTCCTGGGTACGTGCCTGTTACACGTGCTTTTTTGCCTTCTGTTCGTTTCTTACTGCATCGGTGCAGATACACTAGCCGGTAAAATTACACTGGCCCAGTAATAAGAACGGAAGGCAAAAAACGGTATACCGGTTACATATATGAATTAACCGAATGAATCAAGCATATTTTTGAAAAAGTCATCGCGCATAGCGGTAGTGAAAATCTTTGCGACATAAAAAACATCGCTAAAAGACGACTTTTTATGCTGTGAGATGGGAAGCTACCATTACTTCACCAAGTGACTGATAACTGTTTACTGTTTCAGTTATCATTAGCAGGTAACGTAACTGTTTTGATAAAAGGAATTGCCCAGCCCTGCGCATGCATCGCTGTTGCCTTGCTTTTCATTTTACATTTGTCTTCACTGTGTGAGAAATGGTGAACAAATACACTTTTCTACGAAAACTGTCTGCGTGAAAGCACGACCAGATATAGTTTTTCTGTTGCATTCAGGACATGTTGACTTTCTGTCTGAACTCATGCTATTAGTTTTATGTTTTCTATTTGTCAGCATGAATAATAGTGTATATAGTATATTTCTCTTCTCTAGTTGCTTGAAACTTATAAAAGGCGTGGGCGCGACCTTTATTCGTTGCATTGAATGAAAATAAAACCAAAATGACGGTTTGGAGGAGGAGAGTCGACCAGGATGTCAACAATCATCACTTCAGCCACTCAGGAGGATAAGAGGGCTTGCACAACATCTACCAGAGAGAAGTGATAGTTTAATGGTTCTTAAATGAGTTTGTGCAGTTTAATGAGCTCTGCCTAACGGTGGGAGAACAAGGTGGGATAATCAACGTTATCACGCATCATTGGGCTAATACCGTGTGGATAGTCAGCTAGATAAATAGGTAACTAGAAAGATAGATAGATAGTTAATCTGATAGTTAGGTTGGTAAGTGATTTTTCGTATTCATCACACTCAATAACCCACAAAATTTTCTCTTTTTGGACCGGGGTACTTCCGAAAGTTTAAGAAAAATTTTGAAACAAAATGGCGCAAAAAGTTTTCCATGAAAAAATAATATTAATTTGAACCCCTCAACTTTTCCTAAACTGTCGGAAGTACCTCGGGCCAAAAACAGAAAATCTTCTGGGTTATCGAGTGTGCTGAGTACGAAAAACCACTTTTAAGCAACTCTAAAGCAACTTTATTTTTTTCCGGTGATATGAATAGTTAGATTCATAAGGGGTGGTGGACGGTATGACCACCGGCAAACACGACAGTGCACGTTATGTGCCTGGGCGCACACGTGCCCGGTATGTGTATGGTACATATACGACCGTGTACGATTACAGTATGTCACCGTCAGCGACACGGCAGAAAACGACCGTATTACTGGGTACCAAAACGAGGGTTTCACGGCCGCTTACGGTCGGGTTTTAGCTGTACACGGTCGTAAATTCGTCGTCTATGGTCGTTTACTTCATCGTATACGGTTGTCTAGGGTCGTTTACGGAGCTCCAATGGACGATCGGATGATAGAAAGAGTAGGTCGATAGCTACCAGAGTTTTTGGACAACCTTTGCCTTGCTCCGCCTAGGTTGATCCTGTCTAAAAATGGACAGGACTAGCCCCGATTCGTGGAACCAATTTTTGATAATTTTGCGAGATCTGGAACGAAAAAATTACGAATTTGTCTTTCTCTAGCCCCGTCACCATCCCGTCCCGTCGACGCACGCATCGGACCTTGTTGAACTCTAATAACTACCACCGTTCTCAATTTATTTCAAGACAGACAGTTATCGTCTATTTTCTGATTGGCAATAATGGATGAGTGAAGCGAAAAGTCTCTTATAAAAACTCGTCTTTTTTTGCTTTCTCTCCAACTAGGGTACAAAAGTCTTTTTCAGAAATTCTTGAATCGGAGAAGCGCATCTGGCATACGGAAATTCCGGTTTGCTTTTACTATTTTTGGTTTATCCAGCAAACGTAAGGACTATTTATCAACACCATAAAAATAATAAGTCGGCCGGGTTTCGTCCGTCAGGCTCTTTTAGGCCAGATCGAAAAGAAGTGGCCTATAAGCATTTCTGGTCAGCTTTACACTAATAGCGTAGAAAGCAATTTCTATGACCACATCAGTTCTGCGTAGATGACATACGGAAAAGCTTCTGCCGAACATTTACATTACACGTGACGATAACGCCCACCATGTTAGCGTACCAATCGACTAAACAGCAACTGTTGCATACGTGGTTCCAATAAAATCGAATATTTTTACATGTCGTGCTACCAAACTCTACTCACGATCAGTTCTACTCACAAATACTCTTTGAATTTAAAGCTACACTGGCGATACCAACAGCGGCAACAATAACGACAACAGCAACGACAATGACAACAAGCACCAGTACGACGTCAACAACGACGATAACAATTACGGCAACAATAACAACAACAGCAACGACAGGAAGCACCAGTACATCGACAACAACCAGTAAGTGTTAGGCTAAATGAGTAGGGCTCTATGTAGCTGTTCAATAGAGGATTGGTCTCACAAGATTTGAAGAATTTGCTTATTCACTATTCCGACAGTTAACAAAAGCGCTGTTATTTCGTAACAAACGTAGCCAGGACATCGAATCTGACTGCTCTCTTTGGATTTATAGCTATGTCGACGACAACAATGACGACAACAGCAACGGACACCATAACAACAACAGCAACGACAATGACAACAAGCACCAGTACGACGACAACAACCAGTAAGTGTTAGGCTTAATGAGTAGGGCTCTATGTAAGGTGGATTCAAGGTCACAGAATACTTCTCGAAATGGGAAAATGACTTTTCTACGGAATCAAACTAATTTCATTTCTCAAAGTTCAAGAAACAATGGACTGATTATGGTTCGATTGATTTTTTTCTCAAATTCTGACAGGTGAAAGCGATGGCGACCTTTTTCACATGTTCCTTATTGTCAATGAGACTTCGATTCTCGAATTTCCGATAAGATTTCAGTGTCGCCAAGCGTATTTTTGCGTTGCGGAGAACACAAAAAAGCGACGAAAATGCGACGTTTTTGCAAATGCTTGAACTTCGCCTGGAGAGGTCGTAGAGCCAAAATTTTTCCATCGTTCGATTCACAGGTTAAAGCTCTACAAAGTTATACGATCACTTTTTCGAGATTTGTTTTTGTTCGAAAGATATTCCCATTTACTGCGCACTTTGCTAAAACGGCAAGCCGTTTTCGGTTCGTGATGAAGATGTTTTTCAGTACTAAGTGCATTGGAAGAGTTCAAAGTCACACTCGTATCAGCAATACGAATGCATAACTGTAATTTTCAGTACTTTTTTTTCTTGTGTTAGCTTTCGTCTTTTTGGTGTGATTTCCTTGAAAATACAGTCGGTGGAATGCGAATGCAACTATAAATAGCTCAACGACGTCGAGTTTAACCTTACAAAGAATTCAAAAGTGGAGAAGCCAGCATGCGTAAAGATTTTCTCCTCTGCAAAGTGTCAAAATTCCTCAAAAACCTTTTGAAGATCCCCCATAAATCTCCTGAAGATCTTACGAATGTTGCCATCGGATTCTCCGTCGTTTCTAGCCCTTAGGACATTGTCACAACGTTCTTTAAATGAAAACTGGGAAAACGAACCGAGAAAGACGTGCCGTTTTAGCAAAGTGCTCAGTAAAGTGCGAATATCTAAAAATTTTGGCTGTACAGGCGGAGTCGAAGCATTTGAAAAAACGTCGCAGTTTCCTCGCTGTAGTTTCAGCCGTCCGCAAAAGCCCATTCCTCGTCTTGGAGATCTGAAGACTACATGACTAGTTTCAGTTTTTGATGCTGAATTCGAATATTAAAACCGCAAATCTCTACAATCTTTCTCCGTCGAAGTGCGACTTTCATCACTGAATAATGCTAACTCGAAAAATCTAGCCTAGTAGACTGGATTGACCAGAAGAAAGAGCGCATTCTTGTTCCAATCAGGTGGTACTACTCCTCGTCAGAGAAAGAGTGACGGCGGCTTCAATTTGTGACGGTAGTGGGAGAATGGGAGATGGATGGAAAAGTCACCAGAGACGGATGTTGATACTCAGGTCAGCCGTAATCTGCTACTGTCCTTTCTCTTCGTCCGTTCTGAATACTTTTCCCATCGATTTCTTAAACCGAGGGCGTGGTAGGGTTTATTATCTGCCATTGTCACTCTTAAAACGCAAGAACTCTATAGCAAAATACAAATATCTCTGCTGACCTATGTTAAAATTTTTAGGGAGCCAGAGATAAATGCTCAAAATTCAGGAAATATTACGATTTTTATCCTTACTGGATATATTACTTTTTTGTTTTTCCTTGGGAATGGTTTAGTTCTGGATGGAAATTCCGACATAAAATTCCTTCTGCTACAGGACAGACGGATTGTTGTGTTTGAGCTAAACGAGCTTCTGTTTGACTGCACCATTCTTCGAAGTACCGGCTTATGATGGGTGAAGCCCATCATTGAATTTAGGTCACTGGTCCGCGGGAAATTTGCCCGTCGGACATGTGACCGCTACCATTAAAAACCAACACTTGCCCACGTAGAACACATCAGCGCCACTTTTCCACGAAACAAAAGTTTGCTGATTTTTATTCCTTTTACATCTCAATCAAGTGTCTATATATACTGTCTTACGTTGAATGCAAAAAGAAACATACAAAAACCAGAAAACGTTCTCAAACAATAAAATTTGAATCATTAAAATTACCATCAAAATTTGAAAATCTCAAATCAATAAAGCTTTTCTGTGATATATTCATTCGTTTTCAACGATATATTCATTTTGAGCAAAATAAGTTAGGCCGAGTAAAGTAAAATAGTTCGGTTGAGGAGGCGCTCACATCAACCTCAAGTCCAAGATTGGATTTAGTTGAGTTTCAGTGGAAAAACGTTTGAGGCAGTATCATCCGACCAAATAAAGCATGAACAATTATAATAATACGTTAACAGACGACAGGGCTGCAGAAAGCGGCGAGGACTGGAGATGGAATTCACCGATTTTAAGGCGGCAAGGTTACCATGAAAACGGTAGAGAATGCGAGAAAAACCATTTAGGTGCGCCGCGAAAAACGAAACTTTTCCAAGAGTGGGAGATCATTCCTTCGTCGCATCGACCGTGTTCGAGATACAGTCGTTCGTTAGTAAATCGCAATGATGAGACGGTACTTCTGCATAATTATACCGGTGCTAACATTTTTTTGTTTCCAAATAGCTCAATGTAGTATATTTTCTACTCAAACGACATATTCAGCTGGCTCTGGCTCTAGCCCGAACTATGTGGCAGCAGCTGATGTCAATGACGACAACAAACTCGACGTTCTTGTTGCAAACTTCAATGTGAGCAACATCGGTGTTTTCCTCGATACAGGCAACGGCACCTTTACTGCTCAAACGACTTATTCAACTGGCTCCGGCTCTAACCCGATCTCTGTGGCAGCAGCCGATGTCGACGGAGACAGCAAACCCGACATTATTGTCGCAAACGGGGATGCGAACAACGTCGGTGTTCTCCTCAACACAGGCAACGGCACCTTTACTGCTCAAACGACTTATTCAACTGGCTCCGGCTCTAACCCGGTCTCTGTGGCAGCAGCCGATGTCGACGGAGACAGCCAACCCGACATTATTGTCGCAAACACCGGTGCGGACAATATCGGTGTTCTCCTCAACACAGGCAACGGTACCTTTACTGCTCAAACGACCTATTCAACTGGCTCCGGCTCTAACCCGGTCTCTGTGGTAGCAATCGATGTCAACGGGGACAGTAAACCTGACATTATTGTCGCAAACACCGGTGCGGACAACATCGGTGTTCTCCTCAACACAGGCAACGGCACCTTTACTGCTCAAACGACCTATTCAACTGGCTCTAGCTCTAACCCGCTCTCTGTGGTAGCAGCCGATATTAATGGCGACGGGAAACCCGACATTATTGTCGCGAACGGGGATGCGAGCAACGTCGGTGTTCTCCTCAACACAGGCAACGGGACCTTTACTGCTCAAACGACCGATTCAACTGGCTCGGGCTCTCAGCCGGACTCTGTGGCAGC